CGAAATAGCCTCCATGGTCGAATCAGGGCACAGAAACCAGCACTAAACAAAAAGGCAATTAAAAAACCTGTGTGGCATTTGCCAAGGCCCACAGCCTGCTAAAAGGATGGACACTGGAAAAGTGGCAGAAGGTGGATTTCTCAGATGAATCCTCAGTTGAATTACATCACAGCTGCCACAAATATTGCAGGAGACCTACTGGAGCCTGCATGGATCCAAGATTCACCCAGAAAACAGTTCAGTTTGGTGGCAGAAAAATGGGGTTCCATCCAGTCTGGGGCTGTGCGAGACATTTGCAGGGTGGAAGGCAATATCAATAGCCTCAAATATCAAGAAGTATTAGCTCCTCTTACCTTCCCAACCATAAAAGGGCTCAAATTTTGCAGCAGGATGGTGCTCCATCGCATACTTCTATCTCTACATCAAAGTTTCTCAAGGTGAAGAAGATCAAGGTGCTCCAGGACTGGCCAGCCCAGTCACCAGACATGAACATCATTGAGCATGTCTGGGGTAGAATGAAAGAGGAAGCATGGAAGGCAAAACCAAAGAATCTTGATGAACTCTGGGAGGCATGTAAGACGCTTTCTTTGCTATTCCTGATGACTGCATCAACAAATTGTATGAATCATTGTCGAACTGCATGGATGCGTCCTTCAAGCTCATGGAAGTCATACAAGATATTAAATATGGATCTCACAGCACCACTACTTCATTCACTGATGTTATGCAACATATTTTTGTATTTGAAGTAAATTATTTGTTCAATTTTCTGTAGGTGACAAAACTTTTGTCTTGCCAAAATCTGACCTTTCTGTGTTCATTAAATGATCAATCTTTCTTCAGTGAAGCAAATTTATTTTACTATATTGAGCATAATTTGGGAGGGTTTTAGCTTTCATATGAGACATTTCTAAAACCAATCGATTAATTTAAAGTCAGGTTATAAGCTTTTGTTTCTACAAAATGGATAAGCGACACGACTTTTGTCAGGGACTGTATGTTTAACGGTAGGATTGTGCAAAATATCGAATATTGACATATCGTATTGTTTAATGTGATGATACTGTATCGATATCGTGGGCTGCAGTATCGATATATGGCCAAGAGTTTGTTTTTTTTAATGTATTTTATTAAATTATTTTGTTACATAGCTACAGTTTTCTTGTTTGTTTATAGCAGGCATGTTCAAACTATGGCCCGTGGGCCAAATGCGGCCCTGAGACAAATATTTCTTGGCCCTCAGGCTTCCAGGTGAATTAGCCCAAATTACCTTACATAAATTAAAAATTAAGTTTTTACTGCAAGGTTTTTGAAAATCTACCTTGATAAAGCTATATTGAATATTTAGTGTGTGGTTTTAAGGATCTTAGCTTGAATAAAGACTGATGGCTCATTCTAATGTGTTAAACATGCACACATTTCAATTATTCACTGTACTGAGCGCCAGTCTACGGCCCACGATCAGCCCTCTGCTTCATCTGTGTTTACATATGTGGCCCTTGATGAAAAAAGTTTGGACACCCCTGGTTTAGAGGAAGGAAACTCATTTATGTGACACGTTTGTAATTTTCACTGTTTTGATGATTAAAATGGGTGTGCTTCAAATTCACTTTGCACAACAAGTGGTTTAACAAAGACTTTTACTGTCACAGCCACAATTTTTTATTGAACTGTATTGAATCAATTGAAAACATATCATATCAAACCGAAAGTGTGATGTATCAAGATATGTATCGTATCGCGGCCTATGTATCGATGTATGTATCATATCGGCAAATACCCAGCCACCAATGCAAGTTACAAGTTAGATCTAGGGAGAAGCAAGCCCACCATTTTTTTTTTTTTTTTGCAATAAGAATACATGTAACTGAAAAAAAGATAAGATCCATAGATCCATATACTAGATAAATGTTTATGCATTACTGTGAAACCATTGAGGCAGGCGGGTACCCTTCCAGAAAGTTTCATAGTACATCTATAAATACAAAATTATTATCACTGTATAGTGTACTTTACTTGTTCTACTTAGGTTTAGGTTCCATCATAAATAGTTAGAAAAGCTTGTAGCTGTGCAGTGAACAGCACATTCCCACAGCAGTAAAGGTCACAGATGTGGTACACATACATTACTGTTGGTAATAAAACACAATGTGAAGTTAATATAGGTCATAATGCCCAGAGCTGCAGGCTCTCATGACATAACAAACAATGCTAATCAAAAGGACAAATGCTAACAGTGTGTTTGTGTAACGCTTTTATGAAAGCTTTTATTGAATTAAAATGTGCAGACACCATTTTATGTTTGAAGGGCCAATATTACACTGTTTTCTGATCTATGTTATATTTTTCTCATTAAAAACAGACCTGGAGTTGTGTTTTGTTTCATTCACACACATCGAACACAAACCCTGTATGTTTAGGCTTCTTCTCTCAAACAGGAAACACTCTGTACCACATTGTGATGCCATGTGGTAATACAGGAAGTGCTCCACTGTGTTTTTAAAATTTATGCATCTTCACTAGAATCATTTGGATGATTTCAATCCTGCAACTGCCAGTTGTTACTAAACTAAAGATAAAAGGCAGCCGTTAACTGGAAAACTACCACTAAATGACATCACAAGGTGGAACAGAACATTTTTAGCTCTGGAGATGTAGACAGACGAGTACTGCAGGATTATTCAAACATGTGTGAATGAAATAAAACACAACTCTGGGATGTTTTTGATGAGGACATTATAACATTGGCTTAAAGCGCTTAAGAGTCCATTTTGTATAATGTAGGACCTTTACCATTTTTATCTACAAAGATCTGTAGTGCAATCCTTGCTTCTGACAATACATGCTGTCATTGTTTCATTAGGCAAGACTCTTCACCCACATTCCATTACCGTCTGTGTTGATTTAGTGCCTTGATATATTATTTGAGTTCATATATTTACAATTATGAGATGTGGTTGGTGAATTGGAAGTGTTTCTTTTGACTGCTTCTATTTTTGATTTGTCTTATTTTTTTGAAGTGTCTTGCATAAGTCCACAACAACAAATTGCGTTAGACAAAGCTGGAATTCGATCTAGCAACTTTTTACAGTTTGTTGGTTGGATGGATGCTTTAACCACTGAGCTAAGGATGAGCGATATCAGAGTTTTCACAGTTTCAGTTATTTGGCTCCAGTATTTTCCCTCCCAGTTTGTGATCAGTGCATTAGTCTTTTTGGAACAGGCTAATGAGTAAAAATGGAAATAGAACAGCAATTAGGCTGAAACATACATTTGTGGGCCAGTAAGACGGATATCAGATATTAGTATAGACTGTAAATATAAATGCACATAGTTAACCCGTTATCCGCCGCGTTCCAAATAGGAAGTGAGTACGGGTGCACGTCTGGCTCCACATTTAGTCTTAAAATGTTCATATTAACCCACTCTACATGATCCTGGTGTTTATATTTTCCCATTTTGTCCATAAATCAATTCCTTTTCCTAATATGGAACCTGTACTCCAAATTCGCCCTACAACCGCAAGCTTCGGTGCGCTTCATTTGACTTGAGCAGAACATTTTGGGTGACGTCACACTCCCTTTGCCCTTTTTTATACAGTCTATGGCAGTGTTTCCCAAACTATTTCCTGGGGACTCATATTTTAAAAGTCACAAACCTTCACGACCCAAGGCAATAGACATTATTCGTAAATCACAAAATAAAGGTGGATTTGACCATTATTGAACATTAATGAGGATATTTTATTGATGACTGAGTGATTGTGTCTCTGAACAATTAGTATTACTCAAGTTTTAAACAATGAAAAACAGTCATTGAACCAGTAAGAAAAGGAGTCTGTAAGTCTCCTAAAGTGCACTGACCTTTGCTGATTTATCACCTTCTTTTTGGACAACCAAGGAAGCATTTCTCAACTTTCGCTGTAGGAACACTCTTCAGGGCAGGCAGATAGGCTTCGCTGACTCACTAGCTCTCTTATGTGTCAGAACTGTATGTTGCAGACCTACATGCAGATCGTGACAAGGCGACCCCCAAAAAAATCTCTTGCGACCCACCTTAGAGTCTTTGGAAAACAGTGGTCTGTGGTGTTGGCTCAAAACGTGTTTTATGTTTTCAATATGTTTGGTAAATGTGCAGTGATCACAAAGCACTTTACAAGAAACCATTCACATATTCACACACATTCATACCAAAGTGTTTTGCCCAAGGACACAATGATAGCATTCATTTGTGGGAGCTAGAATCGCACCGCCAACCTGTGGGTCGGTGGATCTGGCCGACCAACCAGTGATGTTTATGTATGGCATTAAACAGGGTTCTTCAAAAATATGTAAATATTGATGTATTGTATTGTTGAATGTGATGATACAGTATCAATATCATGGGCTGCTGTATTGATATACCGTCAAGAGTATTTTTTGATGTATTTTTCTAAATTATTTTGTTACAGCGCTACAGTTTTGTTGTTTTTTTAGAGGAAGGAAACTTGTTTATGCAACACATTTGACATTTTCACTGTTTTGATGATTAAAGTGGGAGTTTTTCATATGAACTTTGCACAAGAAGTGGTTTAACAAAGACTTTTAGTATCACAGCCATGATTTAGCCTTTATTTTTTATTGAACTGTATCATATCTAAACAAAAGTGCACTGTATCGAGATATGTATCGTATCGTGGTCTAAGTATCGAGGTATATATCGTATCGACAACTTCTTAATGATACACAGCCTTAGCATTAAACCATTCTATCTTCACTTAGACCAAACTAGACCAAGTTACAGGGCAGATCTGTGGAGAGGTGACACCGCTCACAGTCAGCATGTCTGTTTTTCTAGGTATTTGTGAGCTATAAAACCACCTGTAATTGAATAAATGTAAGTTTGAGCTGTTTAATGTCATACTGTGGAACATTCCAGGCTGAGAAATGCCATATCCATAGAAACAAGTAGCTGATGGAGCCCCAGCCAAAACGTTTTATTTCTTGTCTTTTTTCTTCCAGGTATGAAGCGCCCGTTCAGCCCTGCGATTCTCCTCTCCTCAGAGTTGGCTCGGGCCGGGTTCTCTGCTCTCTCCGTACAAATGGATTCTTGCGACTCCCAGAACGAGGCCGCACTTCATCAGGACCACCAGTCGCCTACGGGGGGCGCTCTTCCCTCCTCCTCTTCCTCCTCCGCCTCTGCCGCCCCCTACAGACCCAAGCGGGAGAGGAAACATCGCAGCTACACTCTGTGCGAAGTTTGTAATATTCAGCTCAACTCTGCTGCTCAGGCTCAGATTCACTACAACGGAAAATCTCACCAGAAGAGACTCAAGCAGATCAGCAATGGGAAATTACCCGGCAACGCAGGTAGGACAGCGATTTTTTTTATATTTTAAATTCTTGGGTTGTTGTGAAAAGGTGGAAAAGGTGTCACCTGTTTGTCGAAGCAAAGTTTTAGCAAATGTTGATGCTGATTATGGCTTAAAGAAAGACGCACTGTGTAACTTTTCTGGTAGAAGGTTGTTGGTTCTATAGGGATGTTATTGCTTTGGCTGGAATACTTCACAATACTTATTTATTTAGTTTAGATTTAATTACACACGTTTTTATTGCTTACAAAAACTTTATACTTTCTTACTGTGAGTGGAGTCGCCTATCCACAGATCTGACCAGTAACTTTAATGCTACTTTAACTTGAATGCCATACAAAACCTTCAACCATCACCTGAAAAGTCACATAGTGCATTTTTAAAGGCAAGTTCAGTTTATCTCAGAATTGCTTTTGTTGTGAGGACTTCTGGTTTTAAAAATGATGATTATACATTTGTTATTTGAGTTGAGTTTTCACCCTGAGGTGGAGGACAGCTTGGGTTTCTATGGTAGAATTTGCTTGCGTCAAATGTGAAAGTGCAGATGTTTTGACCTGGTTTGTGGTTGGATATTTTCCTTAATTAATTGTGGTGAAATCACTGTGTCATTATTAAAACACACTGGCGCAATTGTTAGTTTAATTAAATTCCAGACACAAGATTTATGAGAAGTTATCAGTTCAACATTTGTGTTTTATTATTTACTTTTCAGAATCAGTGTATTGCCCATAGAGTTAAACAGGCCCTTGCACTTTACCTAAAAATATGGCATTATGAATATCTGTAGTGTATTGATACTTTGCAGCTGATCATCAACTTTCTCTGGGGATGTGATTCTAACTGGAGGCTCTAATCTGTCTGCAGTAGGGATGGGCATTCAATGAAATTTTCTTAATCGATCGTCAGAAGAATTAATGATCGATTATCGCTTAATCATTAACGTTTTTATATTAAAATGATCATCATTATTATTACTATCTGCACTACTAATCTGCATAAATAAATTCAACTTTACGACATATAAACTGTAACCACTCTAGAGCCACATCAGCCCGTTTGACATTATAAACTTTGCGCAACTCTCACAGAAATGAAACTTAAACCGCATGGCTAATTTGCATAAACAAAGTGAAGGAAAAAAAACGTGACCATATTTGCGTTTGTCAAAACCAGGACATCGTACGGAGGATGGGAGGTGGGGTCTCATCATCAACATTGTGCTACTCTCACCTGGCAAAGCTTTTTAATGTTTTCGGTGTCCTGGTGAACTTTTTCCCACTGGACACTGAAACATATGTGCTGCTTTGTACACTGTGCACATGGCCTCACACTTGTCCCGACCGGAACGGAAAGCGTTGTACAAATTTCTTGTACAAGTCATTGTTGCACATTGTTCGCATTTGCACTTCAGTACGTTGCAGACTGACCGACTGTTTGTGTCTCGCTCCTTCTGAGTGCAGAGAGACACATGTACGGACCCCTGTTTGGTCACGCTACGCGCAGCAACCTACATTCAGTTTGTCGATTAAAATGAACGTAATCGATGAAATTCTTAATGATCAATTATCGATTAATTGATTAATCATGCCCATCCCTATTCTTAAGCTTTATTATTCAAGTTAGACTTTAATTTGAGTTTTATTTTAACATAACCTGACCATAAAGCAATCATTTAGTTGGAACTACAGTTTGTTACTCATTTTTTGTCTGAAACCCTGAATACTCGTAATCATCACAGGGCGTCTGAAAATGAGTTGTTTAATTTAAATCCATATTGTATTTTTAAGTTTTAAGCGTTTTTTTTTTAACACTTTTTTGACAGTATTTGCTAAACATTCCATGATAGAGATATATGTAGAACGCCACCAGCATGGTGTCACTGCAAAGTATCAGTTGTAATCAGTGTATGACATATTTGATGGTTTCCTCTTCAAGATGTTGCGTGGTCAAAGGTTATGAGATCGTACTGACATATCGAAAGTGGTTGATGGAAGAAATAAAGAAAGTAGTGAATTTGAGATGTTAAATCCTTGTATTGGCACATTTCTGGTGCACTGCAAATGATATGATTATTGTTTATCTATTTTGTCAAATCCCACATATGCACAGTGAAGGTTGCCCTGTCCCTGTGTGGTCCATTATAGCCCGTGCTGGTTTAGGTCCATTTATTTTTGCGTGTTTTGGTTCCAATGCTACGCCTGCTGCCTGATGTGTTTATTTTCATTTTAATCTGGGTATTGCACAATGGCATCATGCTGCTAACCAAAAACAACCCTCTGTGCCAAATTTAAATTCAATATCAGTTAAACAAATGGGATTCTATTTGCTAAACTGTGTTTTGAAACAATATTAAAACGTTTATTTGCCTTGAAATTGGGAAGCTCTTCTGAACAGCTTTTGTAGCTTCTTCCTTTTATACCTTTAAAGAGTGGATATTACACTTCCAAGGGGTATTAACTACTAACACATGATATATTTAAATAATGTTACCTTTATTGTTCTGAAAATGCTATATTCACCAAAAATTACTGAAAAAAAAAACAAAAACTGTTCTCACAATTTAAAAATGAAATAAACTGTAGTGAAAGTGTCCTCGACCATAATATTATATGCAATTATTCATAAATCATAATATATCATCCTTTGCTTTAGTATTGGGATATACAGAATCATGACAGGCATATCGTGATACATATTATATCACCAGATTTATAACAATTGGCTCTATTCACACTTACCAGAATACAATGGAAACATGCAGATGATGACTTCTGGTGTAGTTAGCGACACTAAGCATGTATGATAAAATTATGGACTCAGCAACAGCGGTCTTCACAACCTGCCAAAGCCTTTTTTTTTAAATTTTTTTATTACTGTATTTTTCGAACTATAAGGTAATGTAATTTGTTCGTCTATTTTCATACATAAGGTGCATTGGATTATAAGGCACATTAAGTGAAACAAACGGACGACACTTGAGACTGATCCCTTAGCCCAGGCGTCCATGATCCATTGGCAGATCATGGTGTAATTCGCCCCGCGTTGCCTCTTTGTCTTGGTGAATATCTATTATAAATGTGAATGTGGGTGGATAATTTAAGTTTGGATTTTAGGTCCTACGAAGGAGAACTCAAATATACAATGAGTAATAATGTGTTTCATGCAGCTTTGTGCACATTTGTTTACGTTTTACAGAAACGAAACTTAAAAACCACATGGCTAATTTGCATAAACTATAACCGCTGAAAAAATTGCTCTCTCCTTGTGCCCTGATGCAGTCACAGTCAGACTAAAGGAAACAAATTACTCCTTTGAGGCTCCTGACTACGGTAGCTGTAATGCTTAGACAATCCATCAAGGCTTTGTAGCTTACCAAAGTTGTACTAAAACATTTTGAAAGACTTTTTAAGCACCATGTACCACATAAAATTAGTTCAAGGTCAGTAAGTGCAACCTGAATTAATTAGCACCAGGTTGTACGGTGCACTGCAGATTTTTGAGAACATTAAAGGATTTTAGGTGCGCTTTATAAATATGGTAATCTAGACAAATTATAATACAAAAATTAAAAGGCAATTTATAAAAGGAAAAAAGAAAGAATACAGTGACATCTAGATGAAGAAAACCGGATTTTGTCAGTTACTATCGCCAAGGAAATTGCCATCCGCATGTTTCCAGATGTCTGACTGTTTTATGATGTAAGCGTGAATAGAGCCCGTGAATCATGAATCACGAATTTCTGCCTCCCCTTGCTCTTTCTGCTAAGGCACGCCCCCTGTCATCGCTCTTTCAAAACACAATCAGCGTGTGAATGAAACTACTGCACATTGCATCAGGTTTGTGAAGTTGTAGTGTCTTTTCTTGTATCCTGCTCTTGTATATTTTGGAAAATTCACCTTGCAGGAGCGTGGGTGATGTTGTGGGCTCAGCATTGCACAGAATCTTACAGCAGCAGGGTTCAAATAGGGCTCGGGAGAGATTGCTAAAATACTTAAACAGGCATGGATGATCTCTTCAGGCATGTTTTTGATGTAACATGGTAGAAATCTCCAGAAGTCCATTTTGCATAATACCCTGTCTTCAGTAATAACATACAAAAGGTCAGAATCTTGCATTAACATACACACTGTTGTCCTATATCTTATAATTCTGGACAATGGCGCCGTGCTGTTTGCCAAGGCCCATGTATCGGTGCCAAACTTGAATTCAGAATTGGTTTAACAAATTGGATTGTGTTTGCTAAATTGTGCGCAGACAAAGCCCTGGGCAACAGAGACTCGCCGAAGAGGAGGAGGAGGAGGAGGAGGAGAGGAGAGAGACGAAGAGAGTGAGGAGCTAATTAAGTGCTGCTTTGTTTGACGCTGCGTTTCCTGGGAGTGATGCGTTCAGGCCACGTCGGACGTTTTGTCATTCAGCTCACAGGTTGCGGGAGGTGGGAGGTTGCAGGGGAACAGATGTAGTTTGACTCTTAACAACAGCTCTTTCTTTTCTTCTTCTGGCATAGATAGAGTGGTGTTTACGACTGACCCATTGCAAAGACCCAATCTGGAAAGGCTGGCACCATCACATTCGTGGTACCTCTTGTGTAGATTGAGGTATTATGGGTCGGGCTCGTAGGAATAGTGTATTTTCTGTGTGCGGGGGGTTAAAGGTGTACTGTGTAGCTTTGCTGGAGAGGATCTGCAACCTGTTTGTTTCCAGTGAGATGTTAACGGTGCAACTTTTCCACTGGAAGGTCTGAATCGAATCAATGCTTTTCTTCAAAGATGTTATTGCTTTGTCTGGAATGTTCCACAGTATGGCATTAACCCTCTCAGGCTCAAATTAATTTTTAGTATCAGGAAAATTCTGTTATTTGGGGAAAATGATCATATGGGGTAGTAATATACAATCCTGACTTTTTGTTTGAGAGAAACCTTCACATCCAATGCGTTCTGGGATGTTGCAGATTTGCAGCATTGGTCCGGTGTGGTAAATTAACACTGAAGACTAAAAATG